AAATTCGACTTTCAAATTGTTGACCGACAATGTGAGCCAAAAAATGGGAATTTACCATTAAAGAAACGGGTAAATAACAAAATGCACTTCCTAAATAATAAGTACAGCTTTTAACTATTTATTTTACCGTTTGGAATTATTATTAGATTCTATGACTCACCTTAAGACCGTATCCGGTTTCGGCTAAAATTTCCGGTGCCACGTAAGTGGGAGTTCCGCAAACGGTATACAGCAGTCCTGTAACTTGGCATGCAAGACCGAAGTCACCCAATTTTAATAATTCGATTTTTCCTTTTTCTTTTCTTACCTGTAAAAAAGTTTTTTCTTAAACACGAAACACCTATAACATTAGTACAACAGAAAATACATAATTTGATTTTATATTTAGCCTGTACTGTATTATAGACAATGATTAATAAAATCGACTGTACGTGCGTACGTTCGTTGGCCAATTTTGTACAAAAAAAGTTCTAGTTAAACAACGCTGAAATAAATGAACGTGGACTTTGACGGCCGGTCTCCTAAGGGCCATCGTTATTTGTTTTAGGACTTTTTGGCCGTTATCTTTGGAAATTGTTTCCCGATGTTCCACCTACAACCACGTCAGGCATTCTCAAGGACAGCACATTGCTAGACCGAGAAGAGCAACGTGCAAATGCCTGGCATAGATGTAGGCGAAACGTCAGGAAACAATTTTTAAAGACAACGGCCAGAAAGCCTGAAAACACATAAGAACGCTAAAAACCAAACTCAGCATGACTATCGTGATTTGAGTATTATCTACTATCGTGAGTTATTTTACCAGCAAGTTCTCCGGTTTAACGTCTCTATGAACTATATTAAGATTGTGCAAGTAGGCGAGTGCCGACGCCAAATGTTGAATCATTAAAGCAGCTTGATCTTCTGAAAATTTTTGTTGTTCTGTGATGGCATCAAACAGGTCTCCGCCTAAACAATCGAAACATTAAATTAAAACGGCGCTAGAATGTATATTAACCGTTTCTTACCGTCAACAAACTCACATATTAAATACAACATAGTCTTAGTATCTTCGTCCGAAATGAGACTCATTATATTTGGATGATTTAGCTTTTTCATTATTTTAACTTCGTTGTCTATCATATCCTCCTAAAAAATTACCCTTTCGTCAATTACAATTTCCAACAAATAATTCATACTCGATGTTGTTACCTTCCCCCTACATTTTGATTTATCTATTATTTTTAAGGCATATATTTTGTTTGTTTCCTTATTAAAGCACTGCCTAACTACAGCAAAGTTTCCTGAAGAATGTTTTTACTTTAGGTAAATGTAAAATGTATAAAATGAAATTTTACCATCTCCGATTATTCGTCCAACTGAATATTTATCTTTTATTGAGAGGGGAAGTTCTGAATTAACATCTTTGTTGCTCTGCAGAAAGGGGTTATCTTCAGAATCATATGTTCTGTTGAGCTGTTTCTTCGGTAAACCTGGTTTTCTTCCTATTCTAAAATAACAAAAAATGTCCTATTAAGTAAGGCACACCTTATGTCCTCGTTTTCATACCCATTTTTATAATTAGCTGTTTTATTCAATTTTTGAATTATTTTGCTCTCTTCAGAATCCAGTTCGAAATTATCTTGAGAGTATCTTTCATTACCATACACAAAGAAAATGTCCTCTTCCTCAAAAAACTGTTCCAACCTACTCACCATCTTTCCACTTAATGTAAAAACCTTCCTCACAGCACCAGAATCTAATTGAGAAGCCTCTGTCAAAGCACTCAGCGTTTGATCCATGCTGGATGCATTACGCTTATTAAGCAATAACCTGATTACCTAAATAATTTAAAATTATAACCTTTTCCCTTTTTCTCTACATTCTCACAATCTTACTTTCCTTGGTTTAAGTCCGTTTCTAATGATTGTAATGATTCTAGGTCTAACACAATCTGGTGCTACTATTTTAGGTACCAAATTTGAATTTGTATTTGAACTAAACCTTGTGTTTGATAGCCTTTTAACTCTACCCAAGTCTTTTCTACTACCATTATTATATTCTATTCGTTTAAATGTTTCCCCTTGTCCACAACAAATATAATCTTTGCCGTCTTCTAGATCCTCCAAGGAAGAAACCTAAATACAAAAATGTCTGCATCATTAGAAAATAACAAACAAAAACAGGCTCCTCACTTTTTCACCGTTTGTAGAATAAATAGCTCGAACACCGCAAGGTAAAGTTACATACTTCATCAAAATGTTTGTTAAATCGTTTATAAGGCTTTCAAAAGATCTATAACGCTCTGTAGCTACAGGTATTACAACTCCGGAGAAGTACTTATTGCCGTTATGATAAAATCGAATTCGCTTGGCCCTTTGAGATCGAGTAGATGATACCGGTCTTCCACATCTACTTACAATTGAGTCTTCTTCTCCTCCATTTAATATCGTATCGTCTAAATCAGACAGCACACTACTGCAACTTGCAGATGATACACTTCGACTTCCGCAATTATTGTTTAATTTAGACATATTACTTTCAATTAACTTTATCCATTCTCTACAAAACAGTTACTAAAATGCAGAAAACGTCTTTTGAATAATTTTGTGAACTAGCGATGTACCGAACATCAATAGAAACTAAAAAAACCCAGTATTATACATTACACGACATAATAATGCGACAGCAATTTTATCATAGTATCATAGACATAATCGACATAACAGAAAAGAATAATATCAATTAATAATAGGGCACGGTGGCTGTGTATAATTAGCCAACAAAAAATTATATCACAAACTTTCACAAACAATCGACATAGGTGAATGTATTAAATTTTGACTTTATATTTTGTGTTGGTTAATTATACACAGCCATGTTCAGTCTATGATATAGGGAATGTATCTATGGCGCTGGAAGTTCTCCACCTCATATTTATGTTTTCTACTGTCTATGGTTGGTTCTCAGTATATCTGACTATATCTGTCGGTAATATTATCTATGACTTTAATGAATGAATATCTATGACAAATTTTCTATTAAGTGGCGGTGGCTGCAACTGTCCAGTTTTCTAAACTGCGTTTTCTAGAAAAGCACCACTAAAACTGAATAAAAATGGGGCGTATGCATGCACCTGGGTATGTTTTGACCTTTTTTCTCCGAAACTTGTTCACAATAAATGTTTTGTGAATTTCACTGCTTTTGTTTTTTTTTTTTTCAAAAGTAAGGTTATTTGACGGCATGGCTTAAAGTTAGCATTTCTTTTTTTAGGAAAGGCTTAGCTCAGTCAGCTTTGCCATACCGTAGAAGTGTCCCAACATGGTTGAAGTTGACCCCAGAAGATGTAAAAGATCACATTTATAAACTGGGAAAGAAAGGTCTTACTCCCTCTCAAATTGGTTAGAATAATGTGTACTTGATCTACAACAAACTAATTATGTTTTCAAATATTGTATTTTCCAGGAGTCATTTTAAGGGACTCTCATGGTGTAGCTCAAGTACGTTTTGTGACGGGCAATAAAATTTTACGTATTATGAAATCTATGGGATTGGCTCCTGATCTTCCAGAAGACTTGTACTATCTTATTAAAAAAGCTGTCGCTATTCGAAAACATTTGGAGAGAAATAGAAAAGATAAGGACAGCAAGTTTCGATTAATTTTAGTTGAGTCAAGAATACATCGTTTAGCCAGGTACTACAAGACGAAGGGTGTCCTTGCACCTAACTGGAAATATGAATCGAGCACTGCTTCTGCCCTTGTTGCATAATGCAATTTTTGTCTCAATAAATAACATTAAAAATTAAAACGAATTGTTATTCATCTCCACAAGAGTATAAATTTTGCCTGCTTTTTTTTTAATGAAATAATAGATATTAACTAAAAAAATTTATTGATTACTATAGTTTAAGTCCTTTTGCACGTTTTTCCACTTCTCCACCAATTTAGAGACACCTTTTTTTTTTAATGATAAGCCATCTGCAATTTTTACCTAAAAGTATACAATAGTTGCTATAAAGTAATGCGAAGTGCATATAAGAATACCTTTCTTTTCTTTCGCTTTGGTACTTCTTCAGACTCACTCTTTTCACTTAAGCCACCACTTTGAGATGATAGTTTTGGTGTATTTACTTGGCCTTCTAAAGCAGCAATGTCGGAGTAAAAGAAATTAAGTTCTTGCCCCAAAACATCCGACGTTTTCGACTGATTGTTCTGCAAAGTACATGTTTATTTATAAGTATCAAAGGACTTTTATTAGTCTTTTAAATCTACATTATACTGAAACGTTGGCAGTAAAAAAAAATACTAAACGTAACTTCTTAATCAACGAAACTTTTCAATAGTTTACCGAGTGTACACTAACCGTTGAGTCGGTACTTTTTGAAATTTCAGAGACGTCTACCCCTGGTGGAAGGGGCTCTGCCACACTTCTACTCCATTCATTGTCCCCTGTGACTGTAAGCAATGAGCATATATTCAATTTGTATCTTTTTTTAAAACGGATAATTTGAAAATTACTTTCATTATTCGCCTTATCATATTGGCCTATATAAGGCGGAGGTGGTGGAGAAGGAGAACTGACTTTTGAAATCGACGGAGGGGGAGGCGGCACAACTGGTACCGTTACAGGGAGTATTGACGGAGGCAATAGTGATTGTTCGTCGAATGTTTCTTCAAGTGGTGGAGTTGTACAAATGTCCATTGCTTCATCGCTTCTGATAACGTTTGGCTGAGGATACTCCCACTGATTTTCACCTGTTTTCCGGTTGTAATAAAAGTAACGTTTATTCGGCCTACAATATTCGATAATAAGATTAAAAAAATACGACGAACTGGAAAAACGCTTAACGGAAGAACAGGTGCAAATAAGAAATTTACTATGGAAATCCTTCATATAATTTAATTTTTAAGAAATGGATCCCTAATCAAATTTAAAATAATATGTGCAGCTTCTACGGATATATGTATTGGATATTGTAATTACAAAAAAGGATTACACCTGTGTAAACCATAAACTACAAATTCTTGTAATTGTAATACTTTCGCTCGTTAAACTCTTAATTAGGCACTCGTCAGTCTAATCATACAGGTGACAATATCATTTTCTGTTATATATCATTTATATTAAATATGCAATGTTTAAAGTAGTATTTGTTTGACATTTAAAAAAAAGAAAATAAATAAATGAACAATTCAATCTCATATTCTTAAACTTTTTTGTAAATTCAGAAAGAAACTGAAAAGCCGTTTTGTTAGGTCGTCACCACGTAATCGGTAACATTTAAAACCTTTACTTTATCTAATTACAAAATAGATAAATAAGGAAAAGCAATGTTTACACTGGTGAATTCGAATATTTTCAATCGATGAAAAATTTGTAATTGTACCTGTCCCATTGCAATGACCAGCCGGCAGGAGCAGCGCTCTGCTCCAACTTCACCAATTCCGAACAGGTATCCTGAAGCCAATCCGCCAAGTATTTTGGAGTTAAACTGTTGGCTTTCAAAGCTGCGTTTAAAGTCTACAACGAAAAGTATAAAATATAAGAAAAGAGAGACCAAATTGCAATAGTTAGGAATCATACTTCCATCTGTATAAACAGCGTCTGAACTGCAGAGGTTGGTTCACGTCCTTCGCTAAGAAATCTCAATTTTTCTGACAAAGCTTGTGATGTTTCTTCGATGTCTTGAAGCATCTTCCATTTGCACTTGTTTTCCTCTTCGTTAATACTGATGTTTTCCCCGCCTTTTTCCAAATTACTATCCGCACTGATATCAGAGCTGACAAACAGAATACCTCCGCTTTTAAATCCCATGTACTTTTTCTTTATACAGCAAAAATTTTTATTTGAGTCATTATAACCGAGTCCCGCATACTCGTTGTTTCCTGTTAGAATCGGGGTATTCTTTTTTGTCGTAGTATATTCTAAATTTATCCTCTTCTTTCTTTGATGAAGTATACTTTCTGTATTCATTTGGAATTTTTGCTGATCTTTTCTTTCTTTTTCAATAAACTGCTTAAAATCGGTTAAATTAGCATCTTTTGGCGTTGTTGTTTCTCCAACTTCGTCGTCTTCGTCAGAATTTCCATAGCCAGCCACCAGTGAGAATCCCCCTGCTACTGTTTTCATTTGAACATCAACACAATGTGTGTTTTGATTATCTTCAGGTTTCTCATAAATTTTGTCGTTCAACTGTTTTGATATATTACAACTTTTTGATTGTTCTGTTGAAACATCAATCTCGCATTTATCACTGTCACATTCCTCCAGTTTATTGTCTTCAGTGTTGATTCCTTCTTCACAATCTGGACTCTGATAAGAAAATGTAAAAACAGAAACATCTTTTACACATCAACCAGCACATCTCACTACTGACTTCAGAATCTGTGAATTCTCTACTTAAATTAAGGAGAACTCTAACAGACTAATCATCATGTAAATTATACAAAAAAATATCAGCTTGAAAACTTTGTCCTTCATAAAAAATAAAATCATTTTTATTTATCATCATTCATGTATTACTTAATTTAAATAAATTATCTTAACAACAGGTCTCTTTACCTTACTACAGCTAGAATGGTTTTCTTCAGATTCTGATTCCAATTCATACGAAGGTACAAGCATCACCTTCCTGCAAATATTCCCTTCTTTATTTATTTGCCAGGCACATAATATAGTAGCAATACACATAAAAAATGAATATTAAACCTGCAAGGGTATACAAATACACCTGTATACATCCCGGAAAACCTTTAATTAACTAATTAATTTATTTATTTATTTAACCAGCAAATACAAGTCGTATAGACATATTTAAATCCCTTAGGGCTGCTAATTTTTAAACAAAAGTTATTGCAGAAAATAACAACTTACTTGCTTTCAACAGCAGATTTTATGTTTTCACCTTCTACCACTTTCTTTCTGTAATCTAAATCGTTATTCTCATTAAGAGTTTCCTCTTTCCTACGTACAGACAGGCCTTTGCATTCTGATATCTTATAGATCTTTAAATTATTTTGTACCTTGGCATTTGAAAGAAACGACGACGCTTGTGGTGGCATATATAGATTTAATGAAGTTTTGCTAGTTTTGTCCTTCCACAATCTATAAGTCTCAGGCATCTCCCAAGTTACTTCGTCGGTTGTTGTATTCCAATAGTATACATAACCGCTACTTTCGTCAAAACATTCCTGCCACACTGTAATTTTATTATTATCAACTCATGATTGATTTTTTTAGCTGGCAAATACAGCATACCACATTCCGTTTTAATCTGTTTTTTTTTAGCCGGGGTAATTTTGTTTATTTCATCAAAAAAGTCGTTCAAAGTGGAATCCATACCGCAGTTATGAACCAGAATGTGGATTAAATATCGCAACCGCCGTCGCGTCATCTGTTGTCGTTTCACTAAAATGTATGTCGGTAATGCCGACTTGTTGGGTTGGGTTATGTTCGGTTGAGTTGGGTTGGGTTATGTTCGGTTGAGTTGGGTTGGGTTATGTTCGGTTGGGTTGGGTTGGTAGGTTGGGTTATGTTTGGTTGGTAGGTTGGGTTATGTTTGGTTGGGTTGGGTTGGTAGGTTGAGTTATGTTAGGTTGGGTTGGGTTATGTTCAGTTGGTTTAGGTTGGGTTGGTAGGTTGGGTTATGTTCGGTTGGGTTGGGTTGGGTTGGTAGGTTGGGTTATGTTTGGTTGGTAGGTTGGGTTATGTTTGGTTGGTAGGTTGAGTTATGTTTGGTTGGTAGGTTGGGTTGGATTGGTAGGTTAGGTTGAGTTAGGTTGGGTTGGGTTATGATCGATTGGGTTGGATTGGGTTGAGTTAGGTTGGGTTGGGTTATGATCGATTGAGTTGGATTGGGTTGAGTTAGGTTGGGTTGGGTTATGATCGGTTGGGATGGGTTGGGTTGGGTTTGGTTTGGTTTGGTTTGGTTATGTTGGGATAGGTTGGGTTGGGTTATGTTAGGTTGAGTTAAGTTGGGTTTGGTTGGGTTGGGTTAGGTTGGTAGGTTGGGTTGGGTTCGGTTAGGTTGGTAGGTTGTGTTGGGTTATGTTGGGTTGAGTTCGGTTGGGTTGGGTTGTTGGGTTGGGTTGGGTTGGGTTGGGTTGGGTTGGGCTGGGTTCGGTTGGGTTGGGTTATGTTGAGTTAGATTATGTTGGGTTGGTTGGGTTGGTGGGTTGGGTTATGTTGAGTTAGATTATATTGGGTTGGTAGGTTGGGTTAGGTTGGGTTGGGTTGGGTTGGGCTGGGTTATGTTGGGTAAATACCAAAAACCATTTGAAATACTAAAATTAACAAAAGCATTACAATGAAGAAGCCAGCACATTAAAAAACACAATAAATTGTCAAAATAACAATATCAAATAACCGTAGAGGCATGTTAACCTCAATTTATGCTATGAAGATATTGGGTGCGTCCCATGCGACTAACGATACATGAAAGGGAAAATACCAGACAAAGCAAAGCATACCCTGCTCAAATTAAATAAACATGTTGCATTTTCAAAAATTTAGCCTATAATATAATGTCCAAATGAACTCACTATTACATATAATCCGTTCAGCCTCCTTATTAACATTACCTGGATACCCTACTGAAGTATCATCAAATGGCTCCTCTGTTCATTGAGTGATTTGAACATTTTTATAAATTAAACAGCTTTCTAAAAATAAAGTGCTCGTTTCTTATAAAAAGAAAGTTAACGTTTTAGAACATTGTACTGGTGAATTTTATACTAGTTTTGTTAATAAAAACTCCCTTATATTATCACACGAAGATGCTTCAGCGTGACTTTAGGACATCCTAATCACTTAATCAACATATGCTCAACAACTACAAATAAGGGATTACTCTCTTAAGAATTAGATGCTGACACAATCACAGAGACGATCCCCAGATATTGCACTGCCATTTGACTGCAAATTCGTTCTAGGTTAATGGTAAGCAGCAAACAACAAAGTCCAGAGAGTCCTACAGCACAGTCGACTATTAAGTCAACGATCTGCAAATAATCGACAAGAAAAACAAATTAACTGTGTTATTAAGTAAATAATATGAAATAAATAACAAAAACGCACCAAAAACTAACTGAAATACCAAAATTAGCAAAAGCATTACAATGAAGAAACCAACACATTAAAAAACACAATAAATTGTCAAAATAACAATATCAAATAACCATAGACGCATGTTAACCTCAATTTATGCTATGAAGAAATTGAGTGTGTTCCATGCGACTAACGATACATTAAGTGAAAAATACCAGACAAAGCAAAGCATACCCTGGTCAAATTAAATAAACATGTTGCATTTTCAAATATTTAGCCTATAATATAATGTCCAAATGAACTCACTATTACATATGATCTGTTCAGCCTCCTTACTAACATTACCAGCATACCCTACTGAAGTAATCATCAAAGGGCTCCTCTGTTCATTGAGCGATTTAAATAAGTGTAACTTTTTATAAATTAAACAGCTTTCTAAAAATAAAGTGCTCGTTTATGATAAAAAGAAAGTTAACGTTTTAGAACATTGTACTGGTGAATTTTATACTAATTTTGTTAATAAAAACTCCCTTGTATCATCACAGGAAGATGCTTCAGCTTTGCTTTAAGACATCATAATCACTTAATCAACATATAGTCAACAACTAACAACAAGGGATAACTCACTTAAAAATTAGATGCTGACACAATCACAGAGGCGATCCCCAGATATTGCACTGCCATTTGACTGCAAATTCGTTCTAGGTTAATGGTAAGCAGCAAACAACAAAGTCCAGGGAGTCCTACAGCACAGTAGACTATTAAGTCAACGATCTGCAAATAATCGACAAGAAAAACAAATTAACTATGTTATTAAGTAAATAATATGAAATAAATAACAAAAACGCACCAAAAACCAACTGAAATACCAAAATTAGCAAAAGCATTACAATGAAGAAACCAACACATTACAAAACACAATAAATTGTCAAAATAACAATATCAAATAACCATAGTTGCATGTTAACCTCAATTTATGCTATGAAGAAATTGGGTGTGTTCCATATTTCCATTCCAATTTTTATAAATCAATGGATCATTAATAACTTACGATTAACAAAATTTGGAGGATTGTATGCAGGCTTTCGGGGAATTAAACAATCGTACTTTATTCTTACTCATACAATCAGCCCGTTCGTAATTATACATTGTTATGCAACTATAGTTAAACACACTCCTCACAGTTTAAACAAATAATGAGAAATAAACAATATACAAATAAATACATGACAAATTATCTCTAATTTTGTTATATTCACGTTTTTTTAAGTTAAAACCAGCACTTTATATACAAAAATCGCCCATTCCTACTGGACTAAACATTACTTTCAAGAACAAATACATCAAAACAAATTCTCACCTGTTACATACAATCATTAAATTTATAAATAAATACCTGCATTGGGTGCGTTCCATGAGTTATTACAGATGAATGGAAAAATAACAGACAAAGCAAAGCACACCTTTGCCAAGCAAAATAAACGTTGCATTTTTAAAAATTAAGCCTGTAATATAATGTCAAATGAACACACTAATACATATGATCAATTCTGCCTCCTTAGCAACATTACGTGCATAACACTGCACAACACACTGAAGTAATTACGTGGATAAAGTCTAACCCTACTAAGTCCGTTTAACTTTAAATCATAGATAATAGTTTTAAATTTTATTCATCGTTGGTGTACATTTTTTAGTGGAGCAGATCATAGACAAAAACTCGATCTTCGCGCCATCTCTTACAATGGCATGTTTACTACTTGATTGGAGGATATGTAACACAACATACACCTTCGTATTGTATGAACCAAACATTCCTATCGAAAGGTCTATACTTACAAGTTCTCTGCTTTAATGCACAATAACTTTGTTAAATTTAGACCTACAGCTACGATGACTGTAGATACAGATTTTTTTTTATAAATTAAATAATTTCAAAGCTGTAAAACCTTTAAACGAATTGTGGATAGATATTAGCAGTTGGTAACGTCAGTGTGAGATAACTATATTAAGCTTTTGCGTTTGTAAATTAAAATAATATAAAATCTTTCGTTGGTAATTTTATTTTATTTTCTATGCAACCCTGATCTATTTTAACGTTTCAACTAAATAAGAATCATTTTGTTATTAATTCCATATATTACATCGCTTTCCTTGCTTGTAATTACCTAAAAATGTTTTTTCTACTTCATTTAGTACTGTATCCACTTATACTTCATCTTTTTTTTTCTTCTCAGACAAATTATCATTCTCTAACATTCATTCAATTTCATTTTTAAGCAGGTAGGTTTTCACCTTTCCTTCATTTTTTGGTATTAATTTGTATGAATGTTATGTATTACACTTGCTACTAAAAATTCAAGATCAGTTTCACAAGCTGACCGATTTATTAAATTAATTCCTTATTTGATCAAAAGCTGTTACAAAGCATAACGTTATAAAAAATATTACTGTTTCTATTACAAGTATACCTACTGAAAATTACAATTCTATTATTGATTAATGATAAATTTACGAAGCCAATCGTACTTGGCGATTACAGAAATAATACTGACAAAGAAATGTATTTTTTCCCCATTCACACTGCTGCAGTTTTAACTTGTTGAGTAATATAAAACAAATGCTTCTTTTTGCCATGGGTAACAATTTCGAATACAATTATGCTTCGAAGTGGAACGACTCAGTTCCGTCTTCTTATTTTAAAATAAAGGGAATTATCGAAAATTAAAAAAGAAAAAATTAACCTTTTTTTGTATACATACTTTAAGGTGCTACAATACAATATGAAGATGTAAAAGACGACGTTTAGCAGCAATTTTAGTCAAAATAAATAAATTAATTGAACGAACATCATAGCAACGTTACCATCGTGTCATCTTTTGTTACTTATGGTTTATTCCAAAAATTGACAAGTGCATAGAGAGACTCGTGTGAATTTAAGGACTGACCTTAATCACTTTTGTAAATTATCAACGACAACGCAGCTGTCATCACCATCGACGTCGTGGTCGTTATCGTTATCTCGTTTGGATTGAAGCCATGGATGATCTAATACGTCTTCTGCAGAAAAGCGTAACTCTTGGTCTAATTGTAACATGTTGCTGATCAGCTCCTTTACCATGATCGAAACATTATGCCAGTATTCTTCAGGAAAGTCGTACTGACCGCAAAGAATGCAATCGAATAGCTTCTCCTGATCGTTGTCTTCACTTACGAAGGGCGGATAACCGCACAGTAAAACGTACAATATTACACCTGCTGCCCAGATGTCAATCTAAGTAGAAACACGTTTTGAATGTTTATTCTATTTATTTACGCATTTATGCTACATTAAACAAACTAGTGGCGTATCTAGCGTTAACGCCGCCCCATTCCTGTGCCTGAAAGTCCTAAAGTAGTAAATTATAAACGCACTCCTTCTTGGGACGATCGGCACCTGTCACTATTGACTGCTGCCGCCCTCACCACCACCCTTATTTACCCCACTGCTCATTACAAAGATAAATTACTTAACATAAGACACTATTACCCAAAACTCCACTTACAAGTTTGAAAGAGACCGACTCTTAGACTGAGGATGACAGAAAATTTCGTCAAATAATGTGTGTATAGTGAAATAAAAAAACAATAACAAAATCGCAAGCAACAACACAAATACTGTAATTGAATTATTGAATATGAAAAAATTAAATTCGACTTTCAAATTGTTGACCGACAATGTGAGCCAAAAAATGGGAATTTACCATTAAAGAAACGGGTAAATAACAAAATGCACTTCCTAAATAATAAGTACAGCTTTTAACTATTTATTTTACCGTTTGGAATTATTATTAGATTCTATGACTCACCTTAAGACCGTATCCGGTTTCGGCTAAAATTTCCGGTGCCACGTAAGTGGGAGTTCCGCAAACGGTATACAGCAGTCCTGTAACTTGGCATGCAAGACCGAAGTCACCCAATTTTAATAATTCGATTTTTCCTTTTTCTTTTCTTACCTGTAAAAAAGTTTTTTCTTAAACACGAAACACCTATAACATTAGTACAACAGAAAATACATAATTTGATTTTATATTTAGCCTGTACTGTATTATAGACAATGATTAATAAAATCGACTGTACGTGCGTACGTTCGTTGGCCAATTTTGTACAAAAAAAGTTCTAGTTAAACAACGCTGAAATAAATGAACGTGGACTTTGACGGCCGGTCTCCTAAGGGCCATCGTTATTTGTTTTAGGACTTTTTGGCCGTTATCTTTGGAAATTGTTTCCCGATGTTCCACCTACAACCACGTCAGGCATTCTCAAGGACAGCACATTGCTAGACCGAGAAGAGCAACGTGCAAATGCCTGGCATAGATGTAGGCGAAACGTCAGGAAACAATTTTTAAAGACAACGGCCAGAAAGCCTGAAAACACATAAGAACGCTAAAAACCAAACTCAGCATGACTATCGTGATTTGAGTATTATCTACTATCGTGAGTTATTTTACCAGCAAGTTCTCCGGTTTAACGTCTCTATGAACTATATTAAGATTGTGCAAGTAGGCGAGTGCCGACGCCAAATGTTGAATCATTAAAGCAGCTTGATCTTCTGAAAATTTTTGTTGTTCTGTGATGGCATCAAACAGGTCTCCGCCTAAACAATCGAAACATTAAATTAAAACGGCGCTAGAATGTATATTAACCGTTTCTTACCGTCAACAAACTCACATATTAAATACAACATAGTCTTAGTATCTTCGTCCGAAATGAGACTCATTATATTTGGATGATTTAGCCTTTTCATTATTTTAACTTCGTTGTCTATCATATCCTCCTAAAAAATTACCCTTTCGTCAATTACAATTTCCAACAAATAATTCATACTCGATGTTGTTACCTTCCCCCTACATTTTGATTTATCTATTATTTTTAAGGCATATATTTTGTTTGTTTCCTTATTAAAGCACTGCCTAACTACAGCAAAGTTTCCTGAAGAATGTTTTTACTTTAGGTAAATGTAAAATGTATAAAATGAAATTTTACCATCTCCGATTATTCGTCCAACTGAATATTTATCTTTTATTGAGAGGGGAAGTTCTGAATTAACATCTTTGTTGCTCTGCAGAAAGGGGTTATCTTCAGAATCATATGTTCTGTTGAGCTGTTTCTTCGGTAAACCTGGTTTTCTTCCTATTCTAAAATAACAAAAAATGTCCTATTAAGTAAGGCACACCTTATGTCCTCGTTTTCATACCCATTTTTATAATTAGCTGTTTTATTCAATTTTTGAATTATTTTGCTCTCTTCAGAATCCAGTTCGAAATTATCTTGAGAGTATCTTTCATTACCATACACAAAGAAAATGTCCTCTTCCTCAAAAAACTGTTCCAACCTACTCACCATCTTTCCACTTAATGTAAAAACCTTCCTCACAGCACCAGAATCTAATTGAGAAGCCTCTGTCAAAGCACTCAGCGTTTGATCCATGCTGGATGCATTACGCTTATTAAGCAATAACCTGATTACCTAAATAATTTAAAATTATAACCTTTTCCCTTTTTCTCTACATTCTCACAATCTTACTTTCCTTGGTTTAAGTCCGTTTCTAATGATTGTAATGATTCTAGGTCTAACACAATCTGGTGCTACTATTTTAGGTACCAAATTTGAATTTGTATTTGAACTAAACCTTGTGTTTGATAGCCTTTTAACTCTACCCAAGTCTTTTCTACTACCATTATTATATTCTATTCGTTTAAATGTTTCCCCTTGTCCACAACAAATATAATCTTTGCCGTCTTCTAGATCCTCCAAGGAAGAAACCTAAATACAAAAATGTCTGCATCATTAGAAAATAACAAACAAAAACAGGCTCCTCACTTTTTCACCGTTTGTAGAATAAATAGCTCGAACACCGCAAGGTAAAGTTACATACTTCATCAAAATGTTTGTTAAATCGTTTATAAGGCTTTCAAAAGATCTATAACGCTCTGTAGCTACAGGTATTACAACTCCGGAGAAGTACTTATTGCCGTTATGATAAAATCGAATTCGCTTGGCCCTTTGAGATCGAGTAGATGATACCGGTCTTCCACATCTACTTACAATTGAGTCTTCTTCTCCTCCATTTAATATCGTATCGTCTAAATCAGACAGCACACTACTGCAACTTGCAGATGATACACTTCGACTTCCGCAATTATTGTTTAATTTAGACATATTACTTTCAATTAACTTTATCCATTCTCTACAAAACAGTTACTAAAATGCAGAAAACGTCTTTTGAATAATTTTGTGAACTAGCGATGTACCGAACATCAATAGAAACTAAAAAAACCCAGTATTATACATTACACGACATAATAATGCGACAGCAATTTTATCATAGTATCATAGACATAATCGACATAACAGAAAAGAATAATATCAATTAATAATAGGGCACGGTGGCTGTGTATAATTAGCCAACAAAAAATTATATCACAAACTTTCACAAACAATCGACATAGGTGAATGTATTAAATTTTGACTTTATATTTTGTGTTGGTTAATTATACACAGCCATGTTCAGTCTATGATATAGGGAATGTATCTATGGCGCTGGAAGTTCTCCACCTCATATTTATGTTTTCTACTGTCTATGGTTGGTTCTCAGTATATCTGACTATATCTGTCGGTAATATTATCTATGACTTTAATGAATGAATATCTATGACAAATTTTCTATTAAGTGGCGGTGGCTGCAACTGTCCAGTTTTCTAAACTGCGTTTTCTAGAAAAGCACCACTAAAACTGAATAAAAATGGGGCGTATGCATGCACCTGGGTATGTTTTGACCTTTTTTCTCCGAAACTTGTTCACAATAAATGTTTTGTGAATTTCACTGCTTTTGTTTTTTTTTTTTTCAAAAGTAAGGTTATTTGACGGCATGGCTTAAAGTTAGCATTTCTTTTTTTAGGAAAGGCTTAGCTCAGTCAGCTTTGCCATACCGTAGAAGTGTCCCAACATGGTTGAAGTTGACCCCAGAAGATGTAAAAGATCACATTTATAAACTGGGAAAGAAAGGTCTTACTCCCTCTCAAATTGGTTAGAATAATGTGTACTTGATCTACAACAAACTAATTATGTTTTCAAATATTGTATTTTCCAGGAGTCATTTTAAGGGACTCTCATGGTGTAGCTCAAGTACGTTTTGTGACGGGCAATAAAATTTTACGTATTATGAAATCTATGGGATTGGCTCCTGATCTTCCAGAAGACTTGTACTATCTTATTAAAAAAGCTGTCGCTATTCGAAAACATTTGGAGAGAAATAGAAAAGATAAGGACAGCAAGTTTCGATTAATTTTAGTTGAGTCAAGAATACATCGTTTAGCCAGGTACTACAAGACGAAGGGTGTCCTTGCACCTAACTGGAAATATGAATCGAGCACTGCTTCTGCCCTTGTTGCATAATGCAATTTTTGTCTCAATAAATAACATTAAAAATTAAAACGAATTGTTATTCATCTCCACAAGAGTATAAATTTTGCCTGCTTTTTTTTTAATGAAATAATAGATATTAACTAAAAAAATTTATTGATTACTATAGTTTAAGTCCTTTTGCACGTTTTTCCACTTCTCCACCAATTTAGAGACACCTTTTTTTTTTAATGATAAGCCATCTGCAATTTTTACCTAAAAGTATACAATAGTTGCTATAAAGTAATGCGAAGTGCATATAAGAATACCTTTCTTTTCTTTCGCTTTGGTACTTCTTCAGACTCACTCTTTTCACTTAAGCCACCACTTTGAGATGATAGTTTTGGTGTATTTACTTGGCCTTCTAAAGCAGCAATGTCGGAGTAAAAGAAATTAAGTTCTTGCCCCAAAACATCCGACGTTTTCGACTGATTGTTCTGCAAAGTACATGTTTATTTATAAGTATCAAAGGACTTTTATTAGTCTTTTAAATCTACATTATACTGAAACGTTGGCAGTAAAAAAAAATACTAAACGTAACTTCTTAATCAACGAAACTTTTCAATAGTTTACCGAGTGTACACTAACCGTTGAGTCGGTACTTTTTGAAATTTCAGAGACGTCTACCCCTGGTGGAAGGGGCTCTGCCACACTTCTACTCCATTCATTGTCCCCTGTGACTGTAAGCAATGAGCATATATTCAATTTGTATCTTTTTTTAAAACGGATAATTTGAAAATTACTTTCATTATTCGCCTTATCATATTGGCCTATATAAGGCGGAGGTGGTGGAGAAGGAGAACTGACTTTTGAAATCGACGGAGGGGGAGGCGGNCTTTACCTTACTACAGCTAGAATGGTTTTCTTCAGATTCTGATTCCAATTCATACGAAGGTACAAGCATCACCTTCCTGCAAATATTCCCTTCTTTATTTATTTGCCAGGCACATAATATAGTAGCAATACACATAAAAAATGAATATTAAACCTGCAAGGGTATACAAATACACCTGTATACATCCCGGAAAACCTTTAATTAACTAATTAATTTATTTATTTATTTAACCAGCAAATACAAGTCGTATAGACATATTTAAATCCCTTAGGGCTGCTAATTTTTAAACAAAAGTTATTGCAGAAAATAACAACTTACTTGCTTTCAACAGCAGATTTTATGTTTTCACCTTCTACCACTTTCTTTCTGTAATCTAAATCGTTATTCTCATTAAGAGTTTCCTCTTTCCTACGTACAGACAGGCCTTTGCATTCTGATATCTTATAGATCTTTAAATTATTTTGTACCTTGGCATTTGAAAGAAACGACGACGCTTGTGGTGGCATATATAGATTTAATGAAGTTTTGCTAGTTTTGTCCTTCCACAATCTATAAGTCTCAGGCATCTCCCAAGTTACTTCGTCGGTTGTTGTATTCCAATAGTATACATAACCGCTACTTTCGTCAAAACATTCCTGCCACACTGTAATTTTATTATTATCAACTCATGATTGATTTTTTTAGCTGGCAAATACAGCATACCACATTCCGTTTTAATCTGTTTTTTTTTAGCCGGGGTAATTTTGTTTATTTCATCAAAAAAGTCGTTCAAAGTGGAATCCATACCGCAGTTATGAACCAGAATGTGGATTAAATATCGCAACCGCCGTCGCGTCATCTGTTGTCGTTTCACTAAAATGTATGTCGGTAATGCCGACTTTGATAATTTAAAAAATTTAAAAACTTTCTTGGGTTAAACTTAGGTGTCGCTTACGCTCTACATTTCATACCCTGATTAAATTCAAACCATAGATATTACTAATTTCTAAATAACCATCTCTGAAAAAAGTAGTGAGTAATAATTTATGATGAATATATGCAACACACATCACATAGGTGTTTAAAGTGACACTACCATATTCCTATTATTTTTATTGTTAATTTAAAATTACATTCGTATTATTTTTATTCTTGAATTAAAATTATATTCGTTTTAAAAAGGTTTTAATAATAAAAAAGTGTTCAGTTGTTTTAGCTGAAAAAATTTTTAAACATTTTTAAATGATCTCAACAAAATAATCAGTCTAAACAATTATCTAGAGTTTATCAAAAAATTTCTGAACCATTATTACAAAACATTTTTTCCTTATTTACGCTTTTTTCATTCCACGTGAACAATTAATATGGATAACATTTACTGACCAAGCTCATATGTATGTAAAGTATATTGTATACTTAAATAGGATGCTAAGCAAATCAATTGATGTTGTGTATAATTTATATATTTGATTTAGTAGCAATAAACAATATGTAATATATTGCCATTATTTATGACATTCTAATGGAAGAACTTGTTAGTGTACAATAAATAAACTGTTCTACTTAAGGCAAGGCCCATATTTTTTTTCAATTTTCCATATTGCATTGTACTGAGCAATCTTTCCCCATAACTGCATTTTTCATAAGCGTTTTTTAAATGTTTAGGTGTAGGATATCTTTCCACAATACTTAATGCCTTATCTAAAGATATTCCTTTTACTTGCAACAGCTGACAAATAAACATTTCTGTTACTGTGCGGTCCTATAAAAAAAAAATCAAAATGGTTTCTCTCAATTTTTATAATATGAACAGCATACTTGTCTTTTATGGGAACATTTATGAAATTCTTGAAACCACATAAGAGGGATCAGGTCCTCATTAATATCTAATTCCTTAACTGTCTCTTTTGGGCGACTCATTAATGTTTTATCCTTTAACCAAAAGTGTTTTAAAAAACATTTACAAAAAAAAGAAATACAATCATACTTTAAACAGTTTTGTCAAGGTTTTCGTCATGGAAGCTAAATATTGTAGAGAACCAGAAGTACCGTCGGTAAATTTTACAGAGAATTCATCTTGAACCAAAGTATTGGCTACTGCTTGATATAACGATGTAATAGGAAGACCAAGATGAGATGTAGATCCAAAGCTTTCTATTAAATAAATGACGTTTCCAAGACCGCAACGGCGCAATCTAAATTTTTGTTCGTGAAATCTGCCATCTTTAATGCTACTTCCGAGATCATCCAGTCTTTTTCTTTCTACGATATAAGGCAGTACCAGCTCTCTTTTGCTCTCCCTTTCTCGACAAATCCATGTATAATCGCCCACCTTTAAATGACGTATTTCATGATTCACTCCTATTGCTACTAAACCATTTATTATGGGATCATTTCCTACATTTAAGCTTCTAAAAAGTACAAAAATACAGCACAATAATGAAAAGTATAGAACAACATCAGATACAAGTAATTTTGATGTACCTCTCTTTTAGATACCAAACAAAATATGAAATGAAGGGAGCAAACAAATAAACTTCATTTCTTACCCAAGGGTTTCCTTACAATCTACCAAAAGGACTACATCAAAAGATTTGGGAGTAAAAGATACCATATCGGTTTCTAAATAGTCTTTCATATTTTCATTAGTAACTGGTCTTTTAAATTCTGTATTATTTTGAAAAATTGGAACTTCATTCTTACTATTTCGTAATCTATTAATATATGGCTCTGCTAGGCAGTTACTGTGATCACCGTTATTACTGCTAGCACTCAATCTAGCCCCTAAATTTCTACCCTCTTCTGTTAGTGAATATCTAGCCGGGGAACCGTTTTTTACTGCCAAATTTTTACTCAAAAGGATTTTCATTGATGACCAACAAGTGTTATATGTACCAGGATTTGGTTTTGAAAATGATTTATCACAGAAATGCTGACCTAATTCAATTATTTCAGGTTTTGTTAGATATCCCTGAAAATTTGCCTCCAAGCTTTTACTGTATAGTGTTAACAGAATGGCATATGCACCAGATCTATAGGCTGGAATATATTCATGATTTGTTTTGCATGATTTTCTAGAAACATTCTCACTTCTACTCTCTTGTAACTTTTTATCTAACATTTCACAGAGTTGTTTACCAAATCCCTTAATTATTTTGCAATCTTTCCCACTGCGTAGAGGCAGTGGAAATTTACTGAGATTTTTTAAAGCAAAATTGAATGTATTATAAAGCTTCGACCTCCGTTCCAAGGCATCATCCCGCCATTCTGTCAACCATTTCGTAAATAGAGGGTTCGGATTTACATGTTTAACCGAAACTCTATTGATTTTATTCATTATTTATTACTGCATTTATACATAAACAAAAATGTTTAAAAAGCAAAATATATCAATCGTTGCAGTAATACACTACTTAGGACATAGATAACTTAGGGGTTATACTAAACATGTAAATGTCACCGAAATAGGCAACTGTTCATACTAATATGTTTACACCAAAAAAAACCTCTGAAACCAAAACATATTTCGTCTAGGCGACATTAACAAACACGCACACCTACACACACTAATTTCAAAAACAAAAGAACCGAACATAACACTATCATATCTTTACGTTTTTCAGTAAGTTTTCTTCTGCTGTTTTATCCCTTTTACTTACACTTTTATTGCCCAAAATATAAAACCGCAGTGGTTTCTTTGACCACTCTATCCCAGCAGATTCAATTCCTATCCTTGATGTTTTCACCACTTTAAATTCGTCATTAAAACTGAGATCATCTTCTACCCACAGAAGTTCTGAATCGCATATATCGACCTTATTAAACAAGTCTTTTGTTATACCAAACGTCATGCAAAGCTTCGATGGGCCATTGCATAAATCTTTTATATCAAATTGTGAAATTATACTAGATGTACTATTTCTTTTTGTTTTTCTGTTAGCTGCTCTTAATTCATTCATTTTTTCAAATCCTTTTATGGGATCTAGCGCTCTTAAAAGTACAGCAGCTCCAGGCTCAGTGCTTGATATGTTCATACAAAAATACATTCCATATGTCATATAAACATATGCAGTACCTGCTTTCATGTACATGGGCTCGTTTCCAGGCGTTTTCCTTCCATTGTACGAGTTTGATGCTTTATCGTCTCCACCTAAATAGCACTCCGTTTCTACGATGCGAGCTTTTAACAATGTGCCATCCTCCAATTTTCTTACTAATATTTTTCCTAATAAATAAACAGCCAAATTATAACATGGTATGTCAAAGAAGTTTCTACCCAGTTTAATTATTCTGTTTGTAAGGGTCTCTTCGGTATTTTTTGATTTATCTGTTAAAGAAAATTCAGCATCCGATGCCATTATGGATATTATCTTCTATTATGGAAATTTGGCATATTAATCTGTTCCATAGACAATCTGTTTTCCGTTGTCGCCATTTTTACTATAAGATTAATTATGATTATTTTAGAGGGCGCTGCATAATTTAATTTATTTTTTGTTCTTCAGTTTTATAAATTTGACTTTTGTGTACGCCATACAAATGAATGCAGTGTATTCAGTTCTATGATGTAAGCTAATTATACCACAACCTGTGCACGTGTTTGTAATTATACAATGGAGAATGTAACAGTCTTATTATGTTGACAGTTTTTGTGCGTGTTCACTAGCACTACTAACCCTAGAGTATTATATATATTTTCTTTAATCTATGTACTAACCATATCTATGGCTAGTGACCTATATGTGATGAATGTTAGTTACTGAACAAGCCAGAAAATGGAAAGGTATTACTGAATTGTTAAAGAAAAATAAAGTTTTATTAAGAGCTTCAGTTTTCTTCGTTTTCAAAGGAGTTTTATTGCGAGGAAAGCAATTGGTTTTTAACAACAAATAATTGCTCGTTTGTCGTTAAAATTAATACTAATAATTCCTCAATCACGTCTGTCCTACACTCAAGATAACCAAAAAAAATGTTGAAACAGTTGGAGCAACTTTGTAGAATTTGCGTTAAAAAATATCAGAGTGAGTTGACGTCAATAGAAAATACATTAATAGATTATCAAACCTTTCAGATGTCTGCTAAAGAAGTTTTAAGTTTTTTTATCGATGAGGAGGTAGGAACTATGAAACATTAAAATTTTAAACTTCATCTTCTTCTGTCTTTTTGTAGCTCCTAAAAAGTCAGGAATATCCGCAACTCATCTGTACTGAATGTCTAAATCTAGCAAGAAGTGCATTTTCCTTTAAAGTATTATGTGACAAATCCTTAATTCATTTGGCACAATATTTTGCCAAAATTAAAGAAGTTGCAAAAGAGAAGCTCTTACAAACCAGTCATGATAACATTGATGGAAAGTATGCTGTTCAAAAATATATTGATGATGACGATGAGAAGTATGAAAGAATAGATTATGAGACTGATACATCCTTAAAAAATGAAAAATTTCATAATGAAACTAATGCTGAACAAAAAAGTTGCATTGAAAAAAAAAGTAAGAATACAAGGAGAGGAAGACCAAAGAAAAAAAGTATCAGTTCTAAAGCAGAAGAAACAATTAACACACACAAACAATCAGACAAAATGAAATCTATTGAAGAGAAGACCTACATAAAGGAAGATAATATATTAGAAAATATCTATGTTTGTTCCATTTGTCATAAGTCATTTACCAATAAATATATATTTTTTGCACACAAGAAGAGACATGAACTCAAAGGACATTTTTTATGCAACATTTGTGGGAAAGGGTTCAGTTCACAAGGCTGTTTAACAAGACATAACAGGATGCATACTGGAGAAAAGAATTTTCAATGTAATGTCTGTCTGAAAAGGTTTCCTTCATCAAACAATTTAAATTTACATACGCGCATTCACACTGGTCACAAACCTTACTTATGTACTGTTTGTGGAAAGAAGTTTAGTCATCCAACAGGTCTGACCTACCACATGAGAACACACACAAAAGAGAGACCCTATTCATGTGATGTATGTGGAAAAAGATTTACAATTCAATGTCACTTGGATAGGCATAAAAAGATTCATTCTGGTAAATATATATGTTGAAATGCATTTTGGTACACGTTTACTTTTCCTAATTTTTCTTTTTTTTTGTTAGGAGAAAGACCTTTTGGCTGTTCACAATGCAGTAAAGCGTTTATAAAGAAAATTGATTTGCAAAGACATGAGGCTATCCACTCTGGAGAGAAACCGTTCACGTGTAGTGTCTGTGAGAAGAAATTTCTGAGAAAAGTTCACCTCAATTTACATATGATGTTGCATACTGAAGAACGACCTCATGAATGTTCACATTGTGGAAAAGGGTTCATTAGAGCTTATTACCTTAAAGACCATATTAACAAGCATCACGTAGTACCAGATTTTGGTAATGAAAAACAAGATAAACCAATTGTAATTCTTCCCCTGTTCCCAAACGAGAAATCTGTTGATATAATTTTTACACAAGATAAAAGGTCTCTTGTTTTTTCTGACATTACAATAAATAATTAGATCAAATCACATTGTAAACATTGTTTAATTAAAAAAAAAACATCGCTTGTATTTAAATTGAGCTTTTTTTTCCTTATTTACCAGAAGATGATGTAGCTACATGATTAATAAGAATATATTTCTTTCATAAAATGGAGTTTTTATTAGCTACAAAGTCCAACAACTAGAAATGATAACAAAATGTACACAAAAAAGATGCAATATAAAATAAAATTATTTTGATACCCCAACTAGCGCTGGTCTAATTACTCTGTCATGTAATTTGTAACCAATTTTAGATACCACAACCACAAATCCAGCTTCTTTCCCTTGTACCTCCTAATATAAAATATAAATATTAATCAGTTGTTTTTTTATATTAAAGTAAAAATTAATATAATATGCAATTCTTACTTGCTGAAATAGTGCCTCGTGTAGGTTAGGATCAAACTTCTCATTAAGTGGGTTAACAGGTTCAAGACCGTGTCTTTTAAAAACTGTTTGTAATTGTGCTTCTGTCATTATTAGACCTTCATATAGACTTTTTAAATGAGGATTTTTTTCTGATAGTTCTTCCTTGGGAACACTTTCTGTTGCTTTATTTAGAACATCAGCCACATCCAATAAATCCTTGCAAAAGTTCTGTATTCCATAAATCCTTGCATCTTCTATTTGCTTTGTCAATCTTGTACGCAAATTTTCACCATCAGCTAAGGCCCTTTTATATTTATCCTACAATACATTACACATAAACACATCATAAAAAACCTAACACTTCAATTGTATCTACTAGTAGATCACTGTTCTTCTCCTTAAGTTCAAGTAGCTGTTTATTAAGACTATCAAGTTCTTCATTAACAGGTGAAGTGCATGATGAAGGGGTAGCTGGAGGCTTTTCAACGGATTCTTTTTCATTTGCGGCGGTCGTTTGATTTTTGAGCAAGTTTGAAGATGCCACAAATCTGATTCAAAAGTAAATAACATTGTGCAACTATTTCAAGAGTAATTCTTACCTCACATTTAACGTAAAATTATCGGCAACTAGCTGACCATATTTTAGAAAAGTTCGAATAATCATTAAAGACATGTTAATAAGAAGTACTTTTATCTGGAATATCAGTACAAAATTAAGGTTAGACACCAAAAAAATGGAAAACCATTCATAAAATATAAATCTATGGAAAAAAAGGAAGTGTCTCCTGAATATATCTCGATTGTATTTTAAAAATGCTTTAAATGCTTGATCACAACTTGTACAAGCTGTGCTTCAGTTGTGGAACAGCACTGACCATAGATAATGGATATACAAAGGGTAACTTGGCACTGACCAAATGTCGGACAATTCTTAAAAGAATTAAAAATACAGTCAAACTGCACAGGAGACACTCTAAATGAATAAACATTTATGGTTAAGATAAACGCATTGATCAATGGTGAAGATCAATGGCTTAACGTCATAAAATCTTAATTATCATCTATGATTATCATAGACAATTATAATTAGTAAACGTCGATGATAACTATCATAACAAGCTTAACCTATAAATATAGCTTTTGTTTGAATTAAAAAATAAGTATTATAAATACAGATTTATTAATAAATAACAAATTATAACGTACCAGCTAGGCGTGAAAGGTATTATCCTTATCAACTGTATTAGCTGTTGATTTTAGTACAATGGCAAAATTGGATTCTATGTTTTTTAAAAGTAAAATAAGAGGATGTCTTTTGGGAACACTGATAGGAGATTGCTTGGGTGCTCCTTTTGAAGGGGAAAGTATGACAGCGGGTAACAAATTGGTTTTACGTAATTATTTTGAGAAAATTTGCGGTTCTAACTTTGAAGGTAAATCATAATTATAAAAATAAGCACATGTTGATTAGTACATAACATTTAATAAATTGTAGGCCCTATTAAGCAATACACAGATGACACAGCAATGACCAAGTGTATTGTCAAGTCACTTCTGGAGAAATCAAAACTAGATACTAAGCATGTTGCACAATTGTTTGTTAAAGAGTACTTTTCTGATCCTAAACGAGGATATGGGCTAAATGTTGTGCAAGTGTTTAACAAATTAAGAAACAATAGATTCACTGACATTTATAAACCTGCAAAAGAACAATTTGAAGGTTTAGGTTCATATGGAAATGGGGGAGCAATGAGAATATCTCCAATTGCACTTTATTATTATGATAAGTATGAAACCATGATAAGTGCAGCTACACAAGTAACGGAAATAACACATACTAATAACTTGGCTATACATGGGGCTATATTGCAATGTATTGCAATCCATCAATCATTTCATATGAATCCAAATGATGATTTAGATGCTATCGATTTTGTGACACAATTGAAAAAAAGTTAGAGCCATTTGAGAAAGAAGCTTACTTTGAAGAGTAATTTTGTTTTCATTTATTTAAAGACTTAATTAAGTTTTATTCATTTGCTACGTTTTTAATTTTTTAGGATTGACTTATCAGAATTACCATACCAAAACAAGCTAAATTTAGTGGTTAAATTACTTAAAGAAAATCATTCACCACAGAAATTACACAAAGAGATTATCCAAATCTTGGGGAATAACGTTTCAGCGTTACATTCAGTTCCTACGGCTATCTACTGTTTCTTGAAGATTTGCTCTACAGAAAAGGTTTAATTACGGTATCCTTTTATTTAACATAAAATTATATGTTAAACTTTGCTGATTTTATAGGAAGACCCATTTCGAAAAACGATCGAATATGCAATATCGTTGGGGGGTGATACCGATACCATTGCTAGCATGGCAGGCAGTTTAGTTGGCGCTTTTCTCGGGGAAGAACATATCGGAGAGAATCTCAGGAAGCACTGTGAATTTTGCGAAGGTATTGTAGAGTTAGCTGATAATCTTTTTTCAGTTTTGCAGAAATGCAACGCAGTAGCTCATGTTTAAATTAATTAATTTATTATTTGTTATATGTTTTTAGAAATGTCTCTTAAAATCATTCTTAAATAAATTTTACGTAGCATATCCGTTGATTTATATTTTTTTTAACTTTCAATTAAGTGGAATGTGGTGTCATCTGGACAATATCTATGTTACTTTGCCGTAGCTGTATTTTCAGTCATTACCAATACGCAATCTGTAATGTTTTCCTATGCCATTAAAACTATAGATTAAGTTTCAAATATTCATATGTAAACAAATTTCATAAAACAGCAGATAGCACTGCGATCGGTATGATTTTAAGGTTTACGTTATCTATTGTCGACGTCTTAACCATAGATAACAGATCACTTAACACTAATAAATGTACATCGATGTATCATAGTCACTGCAGGAACAGACTAAATAAATTAATATTATATGATAAATGTATCGATTAAATTGTTTACCTCGGACTTGTTCTTCTGAGTATCCCCATTCTTTCTAAATGTATTATATGATTTTAGCACTAAAGCAATACTCTTTACTGTACCCTATCTGTGGGCAGTATATAACCTAACGCTACAGATACCAGATCTTACGATTTTTTGACACTTGCCGTCTTTGCATTAGGGGTTATAGAACATTACTGAAATTAAGGTCATAGAAACATTGTCTTTGTCTTTCTACGGTCTTGATGTGTATATTGCATCGACGTTTACTAATAATATATATCTATGGTATATTGTACGTTATCTATGGTGCGTGCATAGACAACGCAACGGTAAACGTAAGTGGTTAGTTAAATAAAAAGGATTAAATTTGTCTACGGATTAAATGAAATAGTTCAATAATTAAAATCAATTAAAATGAAGGGAAGAGAGCGTCGTTCTAATGCGGGCAATCGTATGGCAAAACTTCTTGACGACGAGGAAGAATGTCAGGATGAGTTTTATAAGGTTAACTACGGTGGTTTTGAAGAGACTGAGTCCGATAATGAATACGAAGCTCAAGAAGAAGACGACGATATCGTTGATTCAGATTTTAGTATAGACGAAAACGACGAACCTATAACTGACGATGAGGAAGAAACGACAAAAAAGAAAAGGAGATTGGTCACTAAAGCATACAAAGAGCCTACTATTGCTCAGAGCAAACAGAGACCTAAAGTGAAAGAACTCAAATTAAAAAGAAATTTAATTACAGTTGTCAAGAACGTTGACGGCCTCGATTATGGAGAACGTAAATCAATTAGAAAATCAACTGCAGCAAAATCAGCAGCTACAGCTCAGAGAATTAGAATAAGAAACTTGGAACAGAGAAGGAAAGTGAAAAGAATGAAAGAAGATATCTGGATTCCTACACAGGAAGAATTGTTGGAAGAAGCAAAAGTAACTGAAAAGGAAAACTTGAGATCATTGGAGTGCTATCAAAAATTGGAAAATGAAAAGAAAACAAAAAGGCCCGTTATGAAGTCTTATGCAGGGTCCACAATACGTTACCACTCCCTAAGTATGCCAATATTAGAACAAATTGATCAAAAAACTGAGAAAATAAATAAATGTGAAAGAACATTTGTTACATTCCTCAATGACCCCAATTGTGTTGTTTACCAGAGGTTAATGAAAATTGGACCACAACCTAAAAAACCTACTGTATTACAGTGTGCAATAACGAAGTTACCTGCAAGATATGTTGATCCATTAACTTGTTTACCTTACCACAGTCAACAGTGCTTTAGATTAATAAGAGAGGCATATTATCAGCAATTGCAAAAGCATGGAGACCGAACTAATTCACAAGTGGATAACTGGCTCAAATGGTATCAAAAATTCAAAGAGAACCAGAAAAGACAACAGAAATGAAGTATCTCTTTGTATTGATTTAAAATAAAAAACACTTTATTAGATGGAAAAATTAAGATAAGACAAAAACTACTGTACATGCTATCAGAATATTAATATAAAACATGGCACAACATATAAAATAGAATAATAAATTTGTACATAAATCAGTTTGGATCAATTTTTTTCCATAGTTTTTGTACTTTAGAGTCTACATTAAATAAGCTTTTTAACATAATCATCTGAACCATCCCAACTGATAGCATTACTAAAATCTGCACTAACGAAAAGAAATTTATCTTATAATTATTTTCTTCAGCAATGTTACGATCCCTAGCTTCAAAAGACTTCATTATTTCTTGTAAACGTCTTGCTTTTATTAAATGATCCTTTACTATGGCCAAAGGGCCCATGACATCATCAATTTTGAAGTCAAACTGTTTCTCTGATATTAGATTATCAAACCTTCTCACATCTACAATTTCATGACTGTCACTATCATCTTCATCCAGAAGTAATCCAAAAAAAACTGTTTTTGTGTTATAAGAACTGTATGTATTGTCAAAGCAGAACTTGTAATCACCAGTCAAGGAAGCTTCTAAACGGTGACTGTTTTCTGATTTCTTGAAGTCAGCAATGAGAATTCTACCTGTTGGGTCTGCTATTCTTAATGTTACATCTAAATCTCCATGACCACCATCGATCACTTGATAATCAAAGTCAATTACCTCTCCTTCTTTTACTTCCTGGTAAAAACAGTCTTCTCTTCCAGCTTCTACATTTATAGTCATTTCCTTCTCCAGCGCCAAGACCATATATGCAAATAAACTAATAAGAGACACTCGGAGAGTCATATCTTCCTTTTATGAAAAGATCATCCATTAGATTATATTAAATATAATTTATATAAAACCATATTCGGCTCAACTAAAAAATATCATTTTTAAACAAACATCACTAATAAAATTATACATGTTATTGGCATAACTTCTGGTGATAAATTAATTTTATTCAAAGATAATAAATTTTATTAAATACCATAAAATAATAGTTAAAAATCATAGGTTCTATCATAGACAACAGTTCTATAAATAAGAGATGTATATATAAATAATAGAAAACAGAAGGAGAAGTTATTAATAAATTAAATGCAAAAATAGTGTCTCTGCATACAACATCCTAGAATTATATTCGCCTAATTGAGTTCGACATCTATTCACAGTATCATATCACATTAACACGTGGTGTCTACCAATAATGAGCATCAACCCATTGCAGCAAACAGCATATTATAAGCATTCAAAGGAATTTATTTTATAACAAAGAGATGGAATAAAGTTTCGGACAATATCCATCTCTCTCACGATAGTGCGTAAGCGTGTCAGGAAAGAAATAGCATTAGTCCGAAACCATACGTCATCTCCCTCACTTTTCGAGCCAAGAAATTATTACAAAGACATACGGCTAAGGCACGTCCATTAATATATGTCTATGGTAAAAGTAAAAGTAACTGAAAAGGAATGATGGCTTTTACCATAGACATATATTAATGGACGTGCCTTAGCCGTATGTCGTTGTAATAATTTCTTGGCTCGAAAAGTGAGGGAGATGACGTATGGTTTCGGACTAATGCTATCTCTTTCCTGACAAGCTTACGCACTATCGTGAGAGAGATGGATATTGTCCGAAACTTCGTTCCATCTCTTTCTTTCGTTGTATCACAATTCTGACCGCTTTTGCACGTCCATTAATAGACGTCGATGGTAAAAGCAGATAGAAGGCCATAGAAGGTTTTACGCTTGTCTATGATTTTACGAACGAAAAAATGGCTGATCCGTTAAGTTTGCTGAGACAATATAATGTTAATAAAAAAGAAATTATCGAAAGAGATGGTCAAATAATATTTGGTGAGTTTTCGTGGCCGAAAAATGTAAAAACGAATTACTTAATGTGGGGGTAAGTAGAGCTTAAATTATTGTCTGGTTTTTAATTCCTAACCTATTGCAACCATATTTCTTTATTTTCTAGATCTGGAAAGGATGGTTCTGCCAAAGAGTATTACACGTTAGAATGTTTATTATTTATATTGAAAAACGTTTCTTTAACTCACCCAGTGTACGTTAGACAGGCAGCTGTAAGTAACCAAGCATAAAATTTAGTAATTACATGTCTAGCTGTAAAACAAATGTTCACTTTTAGAAAGAGAACATACCAGTTGTACGTAGGCCTGACAGGAAGGAACTTTTGGCATATTTAAATGGTGAAACTGCAAGTTGTCCTTCCATTGACAAAAGCGCTCCTTTAGAATTACCAACCCAAGTAATTAATAATTATCTTAGTTGTATTTGAGTTTCTTAAATTTTTGTCATGCTAGGTTAAACGGTCTGCAGATTATGATGGATCAGACAGCACAGCCAAGAAACCTCGTCTTGAAGACACTCATGTTCAAAAAGTCAGGGAACAACTTGCTGCTAGGCTGGATGCACCTAAAGAAGCAAGCGTTACAGTTGACAATATCAAGTAATTAAATTAAATGTACATTATTAGACATTAATTATTAATTCATAACTTTTTAGATCTCTGTCGGAGGCCATGTCAGTGGAAAAAATTGCTGCAATCAAAGCAAAACGTTTAGCAAAGAAAAGAACAACAATTAAAGGAAATGATGACATAGGCCAAGAATATGACATTCGGGCTATACTAGACTTGGACGTAGACATCACCAAAGACATAATCAGTCGAGAAAGACAGTGGAGAACCCGTATTACTATTTTACAATCAAATGGAAAAGTCAGTTTATTTAACTAAATAGTCACTGATAAACTGTAATGTGAATAAACTTTTATTTTCATTGTAGACGTTTGCCAAAAATGTTCTAGCCATACTTCATGGTATTAAAGCTCGAGAGGACGGTAGGCATAAACCTCCACAGCCACAACCGGTTGTCACCCCTCGTCAAACACCTATGAGGCCGGCGGCGCAACCTTCGGTGTACAATCGTTACGATCAAGAACGATTCATAAGACAAAAGGAAGGTAAATTTAAGTACATAATACATTCATAAATATTTGTAAATACATAATACAAGAGAGTTTAGTAAAATGCAATTTTACATTTTGTTGAGTCATGTTATCTAAGATTGCTTCAGTGCGGTTTTAATAACAATTAATTGTTTATTGATTTTTTGGATTTTTATCTAGAAACGGAAGGTTTTAAAATCGATACTATGGGCACATATCATGGAATGACGTTGAAATCTGTGACGGAAGGATCGGTTAAAGCGCGCTCCACCATGCCTCAACCTCAAATGCCATTGCCTGTAAGTGCAGCGCGACCTCCCGCATCGGGAATGTCTAAGCGCATTTCCCGGACCCCCATAATCATTATTCCTGCTGCCACGACGTCACTCATTTCCATGTACAATGTGAAGGATATATTGCAGGACCTTAAGTAAGAATCATGAATAAAATTACGGGTTTTTGAATGGGAAATTAATGCCGTTTTTTGTAGATATGTGACAACAGAACAGAAAAAAGCTGTTGGAGCAAAAAGAGACAACGAAGTGTTGTTACATAGACATAAGAACGGTATCACTGTACCCTACAGAGTAGTCGATAATCCTGCCAAACTGAGCCCAAGCGATTGGGACCGTGTGGTCGCCGTTTTCGTCATGGGGCCCGCTTGGCAATTCAAAGGATACCCCTGGGAAAACCCTGTTGAAATATTCTCAAAAAGTTGGATACCATTTAACAATCACTTTTAAAAATTTAAGTATTTTTATTTTTAGTTTGTGCTTTTCATTTAAAATATGACGAAATGAAATTAGACGCAAACGTGGCCCGATGGGCTGTGACGGTAATTGAACTTTCAAGGACCAAGAGACATCTCGACAGGGCGGCACTAATGATTTTTTGGGAAAAATTGGACAAGTAAGTAATCAAACTAGAACAAAAATGATTTATGCTAATATAATAAAGAAGTCTGGAAAGTTAAAATACGGTTGTCGTTTCTTTTAGGCACATGATGCAGTACAAACAGCACTTGAGATTTTAAAAAAGGCTAATGCAAGAGAAAAAAATGATGGAAAATAAGAGTGATTTATTTTATCCTGGAGTGTATCTACAAGGTGAGAGGCTCTAATGATGTTCAGTTATAGTAAAACTCTGACCTATAAAATTGTTTCCTTTAAAATTCAAAATTCTGGTAGGTATGTATTTATGGAGTTTACAATTGCAAAAAAGACCCCACAAAGTTAAAGTAATATTCAAATCGAAAATATTAAAAATTATGCTAATTATCGTTAATATAGGTAGAGTATTTTTTTTACTAGTGTGATATTGATAAAAACAAGTAACTAATGGTACAAAGCATTTATTGATTGGGATTTATAAAAATAAATTAAAACTTACACATAGGTACATAATAATTAACAATACTTTCAATTTTATTATTAAGTAATTAATGTGTGCATTATTTGACCGTGTTTGGTGAGACTTTATTAGCAAATAAAACATATTTTCCATGTTCGGTAGAGGAAAACTGCCTTTTCTTTTATAGCGGTAAAAAGTAAAATTGATATTTAATTGAAATTAGTGTTTATTCAAATTTAAGTTACAAAGATATTGAACCCGTTTTTGTGCGACTATAAAATACCCATAACAAATTGGAATGTCACAAAATGGTATTACATAAAAATAAAAACAAAACAGAAATTCAAATTGTAATAGTCATCGCCGTCATACTTCTTACATAAATGTTACATACTTGCTATAATGCAATACGTATGTAAAGATAATACAATAAATTACATAATTTCAGGCTTACACACTGGTTTTAAACATCAGCAGAAGATTATACTTTCAATTTGTTTTTAATAAATGATTGTAATTATACCTGTTGTCTTGTACACCTAATCAAATAAATAAATAAGTATGCCGACAAACTAGGGAAAAACAAAAGTACCACGACAGGATCGAAAGCAAACGGAAATCAGTTTGAACTATATAAAATACCGAATTAAATTCGAAGCAGTTAAGAAAGTGAAATCCAGAGATGTTTGATGTAATCATTCTTCTGTACTTCCCATACAGCACGAGCTCCTATTCAAAGAGCTCCTCTTATTCAAGTCGACGGTGTCTGCAGCATAGCAACTTTCATTTTTGTCACCTTTACTCTCGGCCTTAAGCCAATGTCGGATAGCTAATTTAAAAGCCTCTTGCACATTACTCGCATTTTTAGCCGACGTTTCGATACAACTAGCTACACCATTTTCATCACACCACATCTCCATTTCCATTTGCGTCACTTTCCTTTCTTCACAGGATACGTCCGTCTTGAGCATTAAAAAGAAATTCTTTCAGTTAAATACAGACTTTACCAAGCATTATTATTAAATACTTCATACCCAATTTCAAACAATGATTTCTTTCTTACCTTATTGCCAACAACAATGAATGGGAAATGGGTATTTTCTTTAATATCTGCGTAGAAGAGAAACTCGCTTTTCCACATGTTTAAATTTCTAAAACTGGCCTTATCGTCAACGGCGTATGTTAACATACAAATGTCTGTACCTCTATAAAACGGGGTCCTCAGCGTTTTAAATCTTTCTTGGCCTGCGGTATCCCATATCTTTATAAAAAAATATACCTTATTTTTATTTACTTAATAATCATATTAATTGTAATTTCAAAATTATACAACAAATAATGCACAGAAGTTTATTAGTTATATGCTGCATTAATTACTGATCAGTATGTATTCACCAACAAATTAATGAATTAAGGAAATTACATTAAAAATGCCCTCACTTAAATACAGTTTTGTAATAAAAAAAAAAATGAATATCATGTAGGTCATTTCAATAGTTTTATAGGCAAACAATTGCTATTTAAATATGCCTTTTCAAGCAAATGCCACTGATTCCTCAATACATTTTAGTAAAAATGCATTCTTTCTCTTGTCTTTAAATACGTTCTGCACTGCATCCAAAGAAGCTTGTAGCATTTCTTTATTAAATTTACACCCAATTAAACTGTTCAGAATGTCCAACTGATGACCTACAGAATCACTCATGAGGAATTGGGGAATATTAACATTTGCCTCTGCTATAATGCCCTTGTCCACTACTATCATCACTTGTACTTTTTCTTGTATGTGTTTAACATCCCCAAAAAAGTGATCCGGTATAGGAAAGCATCTGGAAACGGTAAATTTAGGCGTTTTTCCAAAACACCAATCCCAGCTTACAAATACGTTCCTTAACTCGATTAAACCGGGATAAAGGTCTTCAGTAGGGTTTATTCGTTTAAAATTGTAAATGTCAGTTCCCAAATACTCACTTCCAATGTTAGAAATAAGACTTTCTACAGTAATATTTGGATTTATATCTGTTAAATTTTTAATGCTTGATTTTGTAGATTGTGTAGCGTTTGTCTTGATTCCTCGTTCGTTCACCTTCAGACTTTTTCTCAAGTTGTTGAGATTTACATTAACTAACAATGTGCAATGGTGATACGCATTAGAGTGACCTAATTTAGCTGCGGTGCCGGATATTTTGTGGCCGTTATATATCAAGTCGTGTCGCGAAGATATTTCCAATTCAACTCCAAATTTTTGTTTGATGGATTTTGAAATCAGCTCTAAATTTGTTCTCCTGTTGTATTTAGCTCTTGGGAAAAAAAAGGTGAGATTCAAGTTACCCATGTCGTGATATACTGTGCCACCGCCGCTATTTCTTCGTGAAAACATAATTTCATTATTTGTTATATGAGGTAATTCAGAGACATTGCTCTCAAGCCATGGATTCTGATGCCTTCCTATTACTACACATGGATTGTTGCACCACAGCATTAATATTTCCCGTTTTTCAAAATTAGTATGACGATAAAGCCAATCTTCCATAGCTAAATTGGTAAAGACATCATTTGATTCTGAGATGTACACACTTTTATTTATATGGTTAGACATAGGTCTTTTTAAAAGAATCTGGCATTGTAGACAAACTGTAAAAATGGATTTCCTTGCAAAATACATGGGTGTGTATTTCTTTTCTTAATAGATTGAGGGATTTCACTTTACGCCTAATATCTCACTATGATTATATAATTTAGGTTATGTTTTCTCTATTATTATTTTTGTGTTGATAAAAATCTATTGAAAAAAATTATTTAAAAATAACGGTTGGTTATTATTTTAAACTTACTTGTAACGTGTATGTTTCACCATCAATTTCCACATCCTTATTTAGAAATTCCACTCCTATTGTATGGAACGAATTTTCGTCAAATTGATTGGAAACAAATCTATTCATCAAACAACTCTTTCCGACCCCTCCATCACCCAATATTACGACTTTTAAGAGGATATTTTTACTTGTTGGACGCATATTTACCCTGTTCGACATTTTTGAAAGTTAACATCGAGTAAATTATCTAATTAGCGAACGAAAACGAATTGCATATCTGAAAAAAGTCGTCATAAAAATATGAGTATTTTCGTTAAAAAGTTCCCTTGCGAATACGTAAAGGTTGAGCAGTGGGAGTTAACCTAAGGAGATTATTTTTTTCAAAATTTGTTGCCTTCATTTGGTCATTGGACTATTTGCTTGATTCGATTTATAAACCGTAACGATTCATACTTGTTAATTTATTATTTGTTTTATAGATGTTTTTATATTAGTTGAAAGAATAATAATCAATATCTGCATGACATCAATGATTGTTAACATATTGTTGTATTAATAGTTGTGGCTACATAATGTTTAATATTTTACTCTATGCTCGTATTTCAAAATTATAAAAGAAATATATAATATATGTCGTGATTTCGAAATTAGATAATTTTGTTAACGCCATATATAAGAAATATATAGTGTATCAGGTTTTCGATCTCTATGAAATTCTGCTGATGCCGTATACACATCCCACGATTTTTTATTGAGCATGAATTCCAAATTAGACGCAAGGTGGCGCACGTTCGACTTTTTAATTTTTATTGTTTTTACATGACGATTGCCAAGTGACCCGAGTGACCATTTTTTTATGTCAAAAGAAGTGAATTTTGACTGCCTTTACATACGATATAATTTTTTAGTTGTTCTTCGTGCATCGATTTGTGTCTGTGCGGTCATTATCTCTCGTTTTTTTTGTATGCAATTGTTTTATCCAGCTGGTAATATGTTTTTATATGGTGCAGTTTCAGTTGAGCAAAAAAAACAGCGTGGTGCGCGTATATAATTTACCTGTGGCCGTGTCAATAAACTCGATCCAAAGGTGTGCCTATGTAACAACAGTCGTGAAAGTGAAAATTAAGGATTATTGCATTATTGAAAAATTGGATACGACTTTTCCATTTTATTCAATCCTCCAGGAATGTTTTTGCAACGAGAAACACATTTAATGACAACAGGGTAAGTTTTTGTCTCATCTGTTTTAAGCTGATAAAAGGAATATTTTCTTATTATTCAGGTTTTATTTTTATAGAGAATAATTTTAAAGGTAATAGTTATTTTGTGAATTGATCGTGAAACTATAGGATATTTGCAATAATAATACTGCTTCTCGAGTTTAGACCCCAATGACAGGCTATGGGTGACAGGTATTCTACTCTCACAAAATAAATCTCAGTACATGACTTGAAGGTCGACTCGTGTGTCATGTGATTTTCTACGGTGTGGTGCAGCAAATTTCTCATAATTATCTGACACTTATAACGGTATATGGTTTTGGATCCGCGCAGCGGTATCGCTGCTTTATTATTATTATTATTAATGAATGTAGATAGAGTAAAAGACAATGATGCATAATTAAAACCACTGAATTTGTCGATTAATGTATAAGGTACATGCGAATGGTTTGCCTACAACAACGATAATTACAATCATCACTTGTGCATTGTTTATTTACTAATCTTCTGTCACTCCAGAAAGGTAACGCCCTATTAGTGTAGATTGTTTTGACATGTATTTACTACAATGCACTGTAAACATAAAGATTATGCTGTTACAAGGTTGTGTACCCAACACCTGTCGTGTTGGTAATGATTTCGCCGTCCGTAGTGGTAGGCCATATTACGTTGCTTCTGAATCTGTATGTGTGTGTATCGTTTGTGTATAGTATTCCGCATGTTTTTCTGTAGGATGCGATGTCATTGTCCATTGTACTTTGCTGGGTAACCTTGGGCTGACACACGTGACTGAGGGCCTTGACCCTCTCCCACCCCTGGACCTTTTATATCTTGAAAACATAACGTTGAGTTTTTGGTTCGGTGAGCGTTCCTTGATTAATATTACACCGTTTCAGGCAAAAATAATACAGCATAAATTGACAAATGTAATATGGCAGCTAGAATTGTTCTTTTTTTATCATATGTACCTAGGTACTTGTTATTTGTGTAGGATGTTTGCTGCAGCCCGCTTTATGTATATCTAGATACCTTTTGTATATGTAAGAATATGTAGGTATAATGGATGTTGCATAAAAAAAAATGAAACTAAGTAGGTGTTAAGCTGTTAAGTAACTACAGTAACATGTTACGTATTTGTTGAAATTGAACTAATATGAATATAAATATGACGTGTTACGGTGTCATAAGCCTATCAATTCATTTGCTAACCGTCCACTACAATTTAGTACATGCTCGGCCTCCATAAGGTCATTCCGCTTTTTCGTCTATTGACAACAACTTACTAACATTCCTTGTAGTAATCAAATAATCGTATAAAAGTATGTTTATTGTTTTATCATTAATGGTAGATACTATTTCTAGACACTTACATTCGGAAGTATGTCTACTGTGCATGATATTTTATTTATATTCCTAGAACACTAGAAACAACATAGGTATTATCATCATCCTCCGTTTTAGGTCCAACCAAATAGAAATGGACACAGATAATAAAATCAAAATAAAATAGACTAGACGAGTACCGTACAGCCTTGTTAGGTGGCAGTGAGACTACACTCTTCCCTCTGTGTATTTATTTAATGGTTCTTCAGATTGACCAGAAAAGCTATCAAGTGCACATGAAAAAAAAAATATGAACAAAAATAGCAGAGGTCCCTTTATTTATTTTTCTTTCTTTTAATAAAAACATTTCCGATGGCCTTGTCTACTGTAAACTTACGGACAGAGCCCAAAATGGCGCATGGTAATATCGAAAATACTTATGTACTTAGTGCCTTAATCTTACCTGAAGTAATTTTTAGTTGCGTCTTTTATAACATCAAATTAAAAGTATGTACACGTTTAGTATTTATGTATGTAGGTACGTGTTCGTTTCAACATACCGGCCGCGCCTGTACAACAGCATTCCTTTAGCATTTCCTCCTTCCATTTTTATTTAAATGATACCGGTTGAAGTTATACGTACTCTAATAGAAGAAACACCCGCAGTTAAAGACAACAGTCCAACTATTAAAGTTATCTCAGCATTATAATTTTTAAAAATGGGTTCGTCCGTTGAATTAATAAATTTAAAAAAAATTGTGCTGTTTGCTTTATTACTTTTGATAAATTATTATTAGACGCAAGGTGGCGCACGTTCGACTTTTTAATTTTTATTGTTTTTACATGACGATTGCCAAGTGACCCGAGTGACCATTTTTTTATGTCAANCGCATCTCTTCCTCCTCAGTCAGGCATTTCAAGACAACAGCTCATTAATAGGCATGTACTTTTAATTTACCTGGATCATTAGTCTGACCTGTAACTTTTAATAAATATAATACGTATTTAATGCATTCCTTAGTCCTTGTCCTATATGTGGTGACAAGATTTCTGGCTTTCACTACGGCATCTTTAGTTGCGAGTCGTGCAAAGGATTTTTTAAACGAACCGTTCAGAATCGAAAGAATTATGTATGCCTGAGGGGCGCCTCCTGTCCCGTAACCGTAACCACGAGGAAAAAGTGCCCAGCATGCCGCTTCGACAAGTGTTTGCAGTGCGGTATGAAATTAATGGAATTTCTCTACAAAACTTAATTATTATTATCGATATACATACGTATCTGAGTACACGTATTATCACTTATAAGATAATAATTTAGGATTGCAAAGGAATTTCAGTATTTATATTTGTAGGTATGTGTGGAATACCTATACTTTGAAAAGGCGGGCATTTATGCATGTGAATTACTTTTATTTGTGCTCAAAAATTATTTTAGAAACGTTGGCGTTTTTTTTTGTCAGTTATATAAATGGTTGAATGATATTATTTATTTATACATGCCAGTTTAATTACTGATCTGATGACTTTATGATGATGATGCCAGTTTAATTACAAAGTGTAATCAAGTCTTCAAAGACAATTGCTTTTGCCTGTTTCGTAAATACGTAACATTTTATTTGAAATATCTAATTATAAATTAAAATAAAATATTAAGTACATATTTGGCGGAGTTATTTTAAACTGATTTTAAGAATTAATAATGTTATGTGCTTTGAAAGAAAGCATCTTATTGTATTAAAGTAGTTACATGTAACTTTCACCGACTGATAGCAGTAAATAATATTATGGAATTATAAATTGAACTTGTGGTAAAGTGCGACGCCACTGCGCGGTTCTTATTATAAAATATAAGGCAGACGATTTCGAATTTGCAGGGCCGGTCTCGTCTCTTTGTCTAATAAGTGCAGTGCAGTATTAAAAATATTTGCGTAAGCATAAGGATTTGTTTTATTACAGTTACATTGATGATTAATTCTGACTTTGTATGAAGATAAATAAGCCATTAATGTAATGCTTTTTAGTTACAGGTCGTGTACTTTGACGAAAAGATGAGAAAAAAAGGTCATTGCAGGGGCGGTGGGGTAAGCTGATCTCTAGAATGTCATGGCAGCCGAAATGAGGTCGCCAAACGTTTCCGTTACCCCCATTAAAGTGGAGCAGTATTCTCCACCCGCCACCCCAACGGTGTTCTCTAACGGAACTCCGCCCGCAACCCATCAGCAACGATTGACCACCCATTTATCCCTCAATGAATCTCCACATCATGGGTAAGTAGTTTTAATTTTTTAACTTGCTCTGCGTCCAGAAAGTGGGACTTTAGCGATGTGGGACATATTTACTAACGTTATCGCCCCATTACGTAATATATTATTTTATTTATTGTTAATGTTATCGAAGTACATATCGTTTTTTTTGTAGCAGTCGCCCATCGTCTGTGGCCAACACCCTCGCCGTTCTTCCTAATGGAGACATTTTGGACAGCAGTTCGGACGCGGAGGTTGCTCAAATTGACTTCCTCCAATCGACCATGGTGAACATGAGACAAAAAAAGAAGAAACGCGACGAAATCCCGAGACCTATGTCGTGGGAGGGAGAGCTCTCAGACGGCGACAATGAGATGTGTATAGATGAGGACAGTATATCTCAGGTATCTGTGAAGGATATATATAAAATACACCTAATTGCTAGTATAATACAATGTTTGAATCAGGCATGATTCGGTATAATTTTTTGGTCTGTTTTGTTGCAGTTGCCCGAAAATCTGTCGGTTTCTCGGCCGAAAGAGGAAGACACGTGTTCACCGGTTCGTTTAAAGCCACAAAAGCAACTGCAGTCAACGACAGTGAGTGCTACACCAGCCCCGAACTATTCGTTACACAGCACCCCGAACAATTCACCGTTACTGGGACAACGACATCCAACCAGCGTACCTCTGCTCACGTCCCATCACAAGGAATTGATGCAAAAGGCCCTCAACGTGCCTCCGACACCTAGTCCTGACTCGGCCGTCCATTCCGCCTACAGTGTGTTCAGTTCTCCTAGCCAGTCGCCGCTGACGCAACGCCATCTTACCCCTAACCTAAGCCGAAATAATAGCGACGCCTCACACTCGAGTTGTTGCAGCTATTCGAGCGTTTCAGTTTCTGTTTCACCCACTCAACAGTTCTCGCCTACCCATAGCCCCATACAGGTGTGAGACATTGTAGCTGTTTTACACTGTTTTTCTTTTTATAATCTTAAATTACAACTGTAAATTTCCTACAACTAATTTGTAGAATTACTCAAGATATTGTTGATTCATTATTAGGGGCGTCACGTGCCCAATGCCGTCCATAATAGTCCTTTGCATCACAACGTGTTGTATCGCTCAGTCCAGGACGACAGTAGTGTGCAGTACTCCACACATCCTGATCATGAGGTGTTAGAGGAGACCGACGACAAGACCGGATTGACGCACGCATCTCTTCCTCCTCAGTCAGGCATTTCAAGACAACAGCTCATTAATAGGCATGTACTTTTAATTTACCTGGATCATTAGTCTGACCTGTAACTTTTAATAAATATAATACGTATTTAATGCATTCCTTAGTCCTTGTCCTATATGTGGTGACAAGATTTCTGGCTTTCACTACGGCATCTTTAGTTGCGAGTCGTGCAAAGGATTTTTTAAACGAACCGTTCAGAATCGAAAGAATTATGTATGCCTGAGGGGCGCCTCCTGTCCCGTAACCGTAACCACGAGGAAAAAGTGCCCAGCATGCCGCTTCGACAAGTGTTTGCAGTGCGGTATGAAATTGGAAGGTATTGTCGTTATTGTTTTAACTCAAAAAATCGTATTTTGCTGTATTTTGAGATGATTATTCAGCTCTTGTCTGTAGCAATAAGAGAAGATAGAACTCGAGGTGGTCGTTCGACGTACCAATGCTCATATTCGTTGCCGCCGTCACTTATAGGGCATACGGAATTGCGAACCAGTAGCACAACAGATCTACGACAGGGTTATAGCGATCTAGCGCCCCAAGTCTTCCGAGTTAAACTAGAGCCAAGTGAACAAGGCTCCGGATCGCAGTATCCAAAGAGGTCAACGCCTCCCGTATCCGCACGACTCAGTGTCCCTCCATTATTGCAGGCAAGTTTCTTGAGACTCTTCTGCTGAAAAAATAATATCATTGATTTTTTTAAACAATGTAATCCACTCCTTAAAATTTTAATTAACAAAACAGGTATATTGTATATGTATGTCATTGAGTAGGAAATAATGGATGTGGAGCATCTTTGGCATTATAGTGACGTGGAGCTGAGCAAGATAAATGAGTGTACGTTTGGAGGAGACGCAGTTGGAACAACCACGACAGCGACGAGTACGGCATCCGGCACTCCTGTGCCGAATATTTCGTCACACCCTTTGTTAGCGGGTACGGCGCTCGCGGGATCTGCTGACACGAACCCAGATTTTGTAGCAAACCTATGTAGCATCGCCGACCATCGATTGTACAAGATCGTTAAGTGGTGTAAGAGTTTGCCACTTTTTAAAAATATCTCGGTAAGTTTGATTTTCTTATTTTGTTGTTAAGTAATGAATCTTATAATTTAATTTATGTTTTTTTTGTTATTTTTTTTAATTTTTTTAATAGATCGACGATCAAATTTGCCTTCTCATTAATTCATGGTGTGAATTATTGCTTTTTTCGTGTTGTTTTCGTTCAATTTCAACGCCAGGTGAAATTCGGATTTCAGTTGGAAAGAACATAACTCTGGAGAAGGCGAAAGAGATGGGCCTGGGGGCTTGCATCGAACGCATGCTCAATTTCACAGATCATCTAAGAAGACTGCGTGTCGATAAGTACGAGTATGTCGCGATGAAAGTCATCGTACTTCTTACGTCAGGTAATAAATAGAAAAAAAATATCTGACCATCTCCTTTAAAAGCTTAATTTAATCTATATTTTGTGTTTTTGTAAAAATTTTAAATCAATCACATAAAAAATGCACCATAATTTATCATCTACGTAATCGTAAGTTTAAATCGAAATATAATGATTGTGATTGTTTATGTCACTAATATGGGTTTATGTAAGCAATTTTTGTAAACTTGCAGATACATCGGAGTTGCGTGAAGCCGAAAAAGTACGTGCGAGCCAGGAGAAAGCACTACAAGCGTTACAGCATTATACATTGGCACACTATCCTGACACGCCAGCCAAATTTGGAGAGCTCCTTTTGCGAATTCCCGAACTTCAGAGGACTTGTCAGGTATGGAAATACGTTGAAGATTTGTGCAGAACTGTTTAGACGTTTCTAATTGGCGTCTTTGTAGGTTGGAAAGGAGATGCTGACCATAAAGTCGAAGGACGGCGAAGGCCCAAATTTCAACCTTCTACTCGAGCTATTGCGTGGGGATCATTAACGTTGACATGTTTTCTAGGCCCCTCTTTTGTCCTAAACGTCGTCATTCTCTCATTGTGCCTTATTTAGCTTTGGTGGCGGTGTTTTTATTTTATTCCTTTTCTATTCCGTTTTGTTTTTCTCGACTTTTGCCCCTTTTTTCTGCTTCATTTCCTCTCATGATATTATTATTTTAATTATTCCTCTTTACGAACAGTATTTTTTCCTGCTTTTTCAAATGTTGTTAGCTTTAATTTGAACCAATTGCATGTACTTAGACAGGTGTTTCCTCGATTTTTTTTAAATATATATATATATCATCAAACAACTC